ATGGGGGAAAAACAAGAAGTAAAAGCAGCAAATAAACATATGAAAAAATGTTCAACATCACTGGTCATTCAAGAGATGCAGATGAAAACAACACTGAGATTCTAACTCACCCCAGAAAGAATGGCTGCTTTCAAGAAATCAACCAGTAACAAATGCTGGTGGGGGTGTGGAGAGAAAGGAACCTTCTCCATTGCTGGTGGGAGTGCAGACTGGTGCAACCACTGTGGAAATCAGTATGGAGATAATTCAAAGAACTAGGGCTGGAGGTCCCATTTGACCCAGCTATTCCCCTGCTGGATATTTTCCCAAAAGAATTGAAAGAATCATACCACAGAGATATATGTGTCCCCATGTTTATTGAGGCACCGTTTGTAATAGCTAAAGCCCAAGTGCCCATCAACTGGAAACTGGACATAGAAGATGTGGCTTTTTAATAAACTGGAGTACTACTCTGCCATAAAGAACGAGAAACTAGAGTCATTTATAGCTAAATGGATGCATATTAAGGCCATGCTCTTAAGTGAAATAAATAGGATTCACATTTGTAAGTACCAAATAGTTTCTCTAGTGTGAGAAAATGAGAGTGTAAATAAGGATTAAAAGGATTAATAACTAATAATTGATACTTTGAAACAGGAAAAGGTCCAGAGGGGTAGGGATGGTGGGAGGAGATGGGGAAAGGAAAGAATGGAAAGGAAAAATTGTGAGGAAAAAAAAATGGAAACGAAGTATGTAAATAGGGAAGGGTGGAGGGGTGAAGGCCGCACAGGTAATGGGGAAAAAATAAGAACTAAGATAGATCATGCACAGATACAAGCACCCAGTGATAAATGTAAATGTATTGTATACCTAACATGTACCAATAAAAGAATTTAAGCAAATAAATAAATAAATAAATAAATAAAATAAAAACATGAGACAGAGTGGACTCAATCTTATATAATATCACCTGATAAAAACACAGTTGCTCGATATTAATAAGTGCACGTTGACCCTAAAGAAACTCAAAGTCATGTAACCAAAGAAAGCTCCTCTTACACATTTCATGATGCTGCAGAAGGTGACACCATGAGAAAACCCTAGAAAGTCAGGCAGCACCGTGGTGGCAGGACAGCCAGGCCCCAGACAACAGAACTTTAAGGCGGAGGTGGCGGCTAATTCACATGAGACACTCTCATGTCTAAGCCAAGAAAAGCCACCTATAAGGCAGACTGCAGATCAGCAGCAGCGGGAGGGCAGAGGAGAGAGGGAGGGCAGAGGGGACCAGCAGACACCGTGTGCTTGTGCTGCAGTGTCCCCCGAACCCTTGATAAGCACAATGAAACACCTGAGAATAAAAATAAAATATTGAAAGGGAAGTTCTGCTTGCATTTTCTTTCCCACATATCATTTGAAGAAAGTAAAATAGGGGTCAACTGAAAAATGCGATCACAGTACGCCAGCTTCCCAGCTGCCACCCTGAGCCATGTGGAGGACCAAGCCCAGTCACCCCTGCAATATGAGGCCCTGTGACGAGGGACTGAGGTGTCTTCAAACAGTACAAATACCCGCTGAGAATGGCAAACGTTTATTTCCATAAAATTGCCTTTATCACAAATTTAAAATCTGGAGGAGTCCTCCCCACAAAGACTTCATAAATACAGA